ATCACTGCTGATGGAGGTCATTAAATACAGGGACAAATATGTCCTCACCTCAATGGCCTGTTAGTCTATAACTGAGTTTTGGCTCAGTAGAGCAGGTGGTATTGATAGTAATGGCTCTGAGTCACCAAAGGAAAGGTTACATTAAACCTGTCTTTAAAAAGCACAAAAATATGGGAGACATTTTAGAGAGGTTTTTAGTCAAGGTCATTACAATAAAAGCAAGCAAGCAAGCAAACAAACAAGTTTTGCCACTCAAAGCTCTGTTGTCTGGAAATCTCACTTAAGTGTAATACATCATATCTCCTGAGGAAGCCAGGCACAGAAGGCATTACTTGGTATATAAAATAGTATATAAATAATACATGTATAAGAAGCCATTCTGTTTTTTTTTTTTTTGTAGAGCCAAACAGAATAGCTTTTTGGAAAGTCGGCTGGTTCTTGCTTTGAAAGATGTTGCTAAGCAATGTTGCTAATATTATGGAAAGACAGCTTCCCTCCCCACTTTTCCACCCAGTCCCAGAAACCCTAGAGCTGGAAGTGGCTTCCATGGTAGCAGCAGCTGGGTTGGTCTGGTAATCAGTGAGGTGGGGGCCAGGGGACCCTGGGTGTGAGAGGACTGTGTTACAGGCCACCCAGTCCTCAGCCTCACTGGCCCCTGATTTTTTGCAGTGACCCCTGGGCAGCCTCCATGCAAAATTCACTTCTTCATGTTCATCAGAAATTTCACACTTTGAAATGTTTCTACTGTGGGGAAAATTATAGTCATGCTGCTTAGATTCATGGATTCAAAATTCCATAAATGAACCAAAAAGAAATATTTTAAATACCTTCAGTAACCCAAGAAATAGATGAAGAGCTCCTTTCTTCCTCCTCCTGGCCCCTGTTTTTAACCCCTGAATGGGAAAGCAGCAAAGTTCTGATTGACATCATGCATTACAGACTCAGGGTACCAAATGATGTGCAGCCCACGACAGGCTGGATGCCTGCCATTGAGTGGGGTCTGTGGGTTTCCTCGGGGCATGGCTTCCTTTCCCCAGAGCTCGGAAATGCCGCACAAGTCACCGAGATCTGTTTCCAAAAGCTGAGCCAATTTCTCACCAGAACTTCAGTATGATATGTGTGGCTCCAGGAAAGTACGGCTAAGCTGCGGTTCCCAAGCTTGGCTGTTAGGCCTCCCAGCCTGGCCTGGGTATGGCCTGTTGCTGTCAGTGAAGGACCCTGTTGTGGTGGGATGGACACTTTTGGGGGTGGTCGTGGGCTCTGAGGGGAGATTAGGAGCTGGGAGAAGAGTCAAGGTGTTGGCAGAGGCGCTCTCTCTCGCTCGCGCGCTCTCTCTCTCTCTTTCTCTCAGCAGAACAGAAACTACCTCCCTACCTCAAATGACCTTCTCAATCTGTCGTTTTCCTTTACCACCCCCTTCCTCTCTGTCTCCCTCCCTCCCTCTATCCCTCCTGTCCACCCTCTCCCCCTTTCCTTTCTCCTTTTCCTCATATGGTGGCATCCCAGCCAGAGCCCTCACTTAACGTGGCCCAGCAGGGGGCGCCGATATACCAGCCAAGAATGAATGTCAGTCTTTTTTAACGAGCACAGGTGTGAGTGCTCTGCCCAAGTGAGAGGTGACGGGGGTTTCTGAGTGATTTCTCCCAGCTGGTATGTGTGTATGGGTGTGCCCCTAAGGGCATAAGAGAATGGGAGTGCCTGCCTTTCTTGAGCAGGTCTAAAGCTGTATGTTTATAGCTCTCGAATTGCTCCAAAGCTTTTGTGATTCACGGGTTGACTGGGGGCGCTGTCTCTGAAGAAGGGGCGGGGCAAGGCATCTGAAGAAATCTGGTTTCCCTAAAGGGCCCCACCCTGTGGCTCCAAAGCCCCTCTTGCCGCACATCTACTCCCAAACCTAGCCAAGAACGGTTGCAGTCATTTTGCAGAGCAGTGGAGGCCCTGGAAGTCGGAGGTGGGGTGGGACAAGGAGGGAGCGCTGGCTCCAGGCTCTCTCTGAGACCTAGGCTCTGGCAGCGAGGCTGATTCCCGGTTTCACACGGATGTGCCTCCTGGAGCCGGTTCCCAGGCACAGAAGGCCCCTTTCTTCAGGACCAAGCATGCGTGTCTGTCTGTCTCACTCCACTGGCCCCTTAGGACCGGGCTGTGCAGCTGTCTGCCCTGTGTTCATGATTAACTTCCCTGGCCCCCTCCGCCTAAACTCCCACCCAGGCCCGTGAGCCTTTGAGTTTCCCCAGACTGGGGCAGAGACTCAGGTTGGCAGCTGCCTGGCACTTTGTTCCCAGGGACTTGGGGGAGGGAGGGCTAAAATGAGCCTCTGAGGTCCTGTGATCTGCAGCACTGCTGGGGATAAGCTGCTAGGTGGATTGGGATCTGGGAGAAGACCCCTTCTCTGACCTCTGCAGTCCTCTACGGTCCTCGCGCCCTGTGGTCTTGATGTGTCCAGCCTTCTCTGTCCACCCCAGAGTGCTCCACGGATGTGGCCTTAGAAGACCTTCGAGTCACTAATGTGAAAATGGTTCCCTTTCGGTTCTTTTTCAAACTTTGTGATTTCTTCAAGGACAGTGTCTTCCTGTGGTGCAAGTGTGTAGCTAACACCTAAAACTTGTCTATTTGTCTCTTTTAACAAAAGCCCTTCAGGCTCAGAGCCTTCATCAGGCAGCAATATTTAGCTAAAATTTAATAAATTGGTATTTGTTTTCATGGTGTGAATGACAAGTGATACTGGAATTTAGGGTGATAACAATGTTTTCTTTTAAAATTAAGTAAAAAAAAGTGAGTTGATTTAATTAAAGCAAAATAATGAGTAAATAACTGAGTAGTATGGTGTTAAAACAAAAACTTGTGAAGGCATATGTGAATGAACTGATTTTGGGGAACAGTGTCTGGACTCCACTGCAAAAGCTAGGCTGGAATGGGATCGCTTTGTGGTTTCGTGTGTGTTAAGCCCTATTTGTTCTGGGCAAGGTTGGTGATCATCCGTTTCCCTCTTACCCTAGTCTCTTGCACAAAGCTGGACGCGTCCTGATTGTTTAATAAATGTTGGGGGCGTGCGTAAGTCTGGTATAGACATTACATTCTTGCCCTGGATGCGTTCCCTTATGCTGTGGTGTTTCCTGGGCAGGGTGTGAGCTGAAGGAAGGGCTCCCAGGAAACTTCTCCCTCTTAGGGCCCTAGGAATCAGATCAGGCCATGGTTTTTTGAGGACAATCTTGTGTTTTCAGTCACATTGGGCTGGACTCAATCATGGTAGCAGAGGAGCTGAGAGGGCCTGGAATTCCACCCAGAACAACAATGAATCAAGTTATCTGCTTGGTGGAAAACATTTTTGCCTTTGTCCCAAGACCATTGCCCTCTGATGCACTTGATCTAAAATATCTCCCAGGCAGTAGGGGATGGGTGGGGACCACCTACACTCAACCACCTAGGAGGGAGTCAGGCCTTGCCCTGAGACAAGCAGCTTATCCTTGTGTGTAGATAAAATACACCCCCTGCTGGGCTAGATCTATGGCCAGTGTGCCCCCAGCATCCTCCCTGCAGTCTGGCTGAAGTAGTCCCTCAGCTAACCTGTCGGTTCTGTGTACTACTGGAAGCAGGAGAAAGCTCTGGGCTGTGTGTGCTGTGCGCTGCCCTCTTCCCCACTGAGGACACTCATTTCCCCATTCTTTTTCCAGGCTGGTTCTCAGGTTAGCACTACTGGTGTAGTCCTTGCAGCTGGCCTAGCTTCAGTCCCACGGGCGGGGCCTGGGTCACTCACTCTCTGGCTATAAATAGATGTCCATCAGGATATTTGTGATCCCCACCATCCAGGCAGGCTCAGGGGGGCCGAGGCCATTGCTAATGGATGCTTCATAAATAAACCAGGCACATTTTGGCACCACTCTGGTGCTCCCTCTCCTCTACCCCAACTCCATTGCCAGCAAGAAGCTATGCTCACAGGCGAGGGCAGGGTTGAGGCCTCGGGCCCTTGAATTTATCTGCAGCCCCCATCGCCTCTCCAGCAAGGTCCCGTTTCCTGCCTGGATTTTCTGTGCTCGCTTGAACACCAGACTGTATAAAAAGCAAGGCAAATTGCCTCAGGGACCTCTTTGGCCCCAACAGGGCTGTTTCCAAAGATGGACTAATTGGCTTGTTTTAATTCCCTTCAGCCCTCTGCCCAATTCCCTTCCCTAGGGGGCTGGACGGAGAAGCAAAGCCAGGAGTTATGCAGGGGTGGTAGTAAGAGGGGGCTACACTTCCTGGCAGCGAGTGGAAGTGAGTGGGGCTTGGAAGCACCCTGCGCTCATAGCAGAGATCAGGCCAGGCCCCTTTCCTCGCGAGCCGGCTTGACTTTCCTGAGGATGAAGCTTGCACGCGGTGCGGTGCGCAGGAGGAGGGGACGAACGAACTCCGGGTGTGTGCGGTGCCCAGCGCAACGCGGCCCGGGTGCTGGTGGGGTGGGGTGTCCCCTGCGTCTCCCTGGCAACCTGGGATGCGAGGCCGAGGTGTCGCCGAAATTGACCATTGACCCTATGTTGTGTCAAACTCCCCGAGCCGGGAAAACCAATGTTAACAGGGGACTGACCCCAGCCCCCGTAGCCCATAGGCGCCCACGCTGGAGTGGACCCCCGCCCCCCCCCGCACCACCATCCTTTCTCGGGCTCGGGGAGAGGGGAGAGGTACTGTCCGGCTGAGTCAAAACGCCAGGGAGCCTCGGCCAGGGAGGGCGGGCGCTTGGCGTTGGGTCTCTCTCTCTCACTGCCCGGCAGCCTGGCCTTGGGGCGGGGAGGCCGGCGGCGGTGCCCGCAGGCGAAGGCAGTTTCGCTTGGACTGACGACTCGCATTTCCTCTCGGTGCATGTTTTTTTTTCTCCCTGTTTTAAAGACAGTGACAGCATCAGAGAAGTATCCCGGCGGGCCGGGCTGGGAAAGCGCGTCAGGCTCCTTTGCCCAGGGAGGGAGCCCGGCCGGGCCAGCAGGGGCGGGGGATGAGGAGCGCAGAGGAGGGGACGGAGAGGGAGAGGCGAGAGTAGGGCGGGAGCCCGGGCGCCGGGCAGAGGGCGATTGCGGGCGCCGAGCCCCAGGGAGCGCCGAGCGCGAGCGGGCCGTCTCCCCGTGCTGGCGGCCCGGCCGCCGGTCCCCCTGCAGCCCGGGTGCCCGGGGCTGGGCACAGGAGGCGGGGCCGGGGCGGGGTCCCGGCGCGGGCGGCGCGTCTGAGCGGGAGCCCTCGAGCCGCCCGTCCAGGCCGCGCCCCGAGCGAGCCTTGGAAATGCTCGCGCTCAGGGAGCGGACGCCCGCCGCCCCGCGGGCCCTGAGGAGCCGCTGAAGGTCGCCGGGAAGTGAGCGCCCAGTCACCTGACCCCCGGGGCGCACCTAGGCGGGGCGGGGCCCATGCGAGGCGGGCAGCTGGGGGCCGGGGCGCGGGCTCAAGGGCCGAGAGCGGGCGGCGTACAGCGCGCGGAGCCGGGCCGGCGGGGGCGCGCGGCGGGAGGGCGAGGGCGCGGCCGGGCACCGGCGGCGGCCTCGCCATGTCCCAGCCGGCGGGGAGGATGCATTGCCGAAAGGCGGGGATCCGCGCCGCCGTGGTGCTCATCGGACTCCTGCACAAATCCCGAAAACAGAATAAAGAGAAAAGGTAAAGCCTGGCAGCGCCACCTACCCTCTCCCTCAGCTCTCGTGCTAAAATCCCATTTTCTTTGGGGTCGACTTTTCCAAAAGGGCGTGTGGCTCCGAGTTGGATGGGAAAAAAAGCCTCCATTCCAGGCGCCGTCGGGGGAGCGAGTTCGGAGCTTGGCCCCCGACACTGGATGTTAGGAGAAAGCCCAGGCAGGGCTTTGGCTGGGTCGGAGGGCGGCTGAGAGGGCCCTTAGGACTTTTATCCCCAACAGATCGGTACCAAGTCCTAAGCCCCCGCTCTCGGCATTTGCGGATCGCGGCGTCCTTCCCGAGACCTGCAGCGCGGGTAGCATTGATCCGACCCGGGCGACAGTCCCTGGCTCAGCCCGAGTGGCTTAATTCACTGGGGATGCCATTTGCTTCTCTGCAACTTGGCTGATCCCTCGGATGTGCCCGCCAGGCCGGGATCTGCTTGCTTTGCGCTTGGTTCAGGCAGGCAAGGAGCAAGTTTGGATGTTCCTTCAACCTCCCCACTTCCCCCGTCCCCCTTCCCCGTGTTTCTCTGTGTTTGGGTTTTTCTGTCTTTAACTCTTAGCCTTTCTTGGGATTACTCTCCTAATTGTTTGCTCCTGGGTATTGAAAATCCTGCTGTCTGCTATTTCAGAGATACGGTCTGTGGGATAAGAGGTATGGGGTTTTGGGTGGGCAACGAAATTTCTAGCTGCAGGCTTGATGTCCACAAGATCCCAGAGAGCTGCCCACACAAGCTAGCACAGCCTTTCTCCTCTGCTAGGATACAGAAGCCCCAAGCTTCCCAGCAACTGGGGGTCATGGGAGCTGACTGTCCACAGAGATATTGTGGGGAGTTGGGGTAACCTCCCATGGCCCTGCTGGGTCCTAATTTCCAGAGGAGTTTTGGAGTGGTTAGTGCTGTGCTCTGCATTAGAGAAGGGCTAAGACAAGGGCAGTGGGGCCAGAGACATCTGGGTGGTGACTGGTGGCCACTGGGCTTGCCCAGAAGGTGGATGTCCCAGGGGTAGGTGGCTGGCAATGAACTGGAGCACTCTGAGATGTTGACATGGGTTGCCCCTGTGGTGCGGTTGTCTCACATCCCTCATCTCCCCCTTCCTATAATGTAGTCGAATTCAGTGTCCCCCACAGCATAGCGTGAATCTCCAGTAAAATGACTTAAGGTGGTTAAACATGAAATAACATTGAGTCACCTAGTAAGAAAGTCCTTCCCTTTTCAGTTCTCTACTAATCCTTGTGATTTCTTTAAGGGAAAAGTTTCTGGTTGGTGCTAGTCTAGCTTTAACACCTTTTGAACACTTGCTAACCTCCCTTTTATAAGAAAGTGAGAGCAGACCTCTGGCTCAGGGCCTTTAAATAGGGAACAGTGCCTGCCTCCAACTTAGGCTGTTTTTGTACCATTTATTTTTAGGGTTTTCTCCTAGTTATGGCCAGTGGTACTGATTTTCCCCTCTGCGGCTGGTGGTGATATAAAGCCTCACTCTAAATTGAATGTATAAGTCACAAGAGTGAGTCTCTGTAATAGAAATAGTATTTACAGTACAAATGGTGTAGAAAATGGCAGAAATCCTGCAGGTGATCTAGGAATGGCTGGGGTTGGGGACATACTTGTCTAGCACAAAAAGCTGTGTGCACGACTCTGGAGCCCAGTGCTCCAGGTCTGGGCCCCATTCTTACCTAGACTTTGATTCTTTTCCATTCTCTGCCCATCAGCATTTTATCGGTAAAGGCGGCATGAAAACTCCCCCTCTAAAGTAAGGAGGGTATGAGATGGCTGTTTTGAGACAACCTGGGCCTATTTTGAGGAATGAGAAGGAAGACTTGCTTGATAGAAAGACAGATGCATCAGACCAGTGCCCGTCTCTGAGTACAGAATGTGTGGTGGGGGAAAGTCCCTGTACTGGGAGCTAGAAGTTCTAGTCCTGTGATGTGATAGTATCGGTTTAATTTCCCTGAGCCTCAGTTTCTGCATCCACACAATGGGCTTGCAAGGCTTAAGTGAGATAATGGGGGGGGGAAGATGCATCTGAAAGGTAGGAAGGGCTGCGTAAGGATGAAGGGGTTTCATCAGAACTGCCCTCATTCTCCTCTCCCTGGGCCTGTGCCCCTAGAAACCAAGGTAAGATGTCTGATGGTGACAGCCCCACTAGTCGTCAAGACCAGCCATGCATGGTCCAGGAAGCAACCAGATAGGCCTGGACCTGGGTGGGTGGGAGCAGTGAGACACAGGGGAGGAGCTAGACTAGGGACAGGAAGGGTTTGGTCTGAGTGAGGATGCTCTGGGCTCATGGCATCTTGTCCTTCCTCCTGGATGCGCTGTGCTCTTCCCTGCAATGCAGCAGACATTGGTGACCCTCCCAGCCCCTGCCTTCACCCCATTCTGCTGTTCCTCCTGCCATCCTGATAACTTTGGCCGTGGACTTACCTACCTAAGGAGAGAGAGGGATTGATTTCATGTCGCTGCTACATGACCTTTGCTTCCCTTGATGTAATCTGGAGTTTCTTTTTCTTTAAGCATCTGAAATCAGTTCAGTGCACACTATTGACCCTTCCTCTGTGGGCACCGGCCATGGGGGGCCCGGAGCAGGCTGCAGCTGCCAACCTCCCTTCAGCACTCCCATACTCCATGCTGGGTGTGAAATTTGCTGCGTTCCTCCTTCCTCCCACCTCTCATCAAAGGGTCAGGTCAGACTCAGGCCCCTTCTTCATCCTTCCCTGAAGGCTTAATCCATCCATCGATCTTCCTGTACCTCTAATTGACAGGCTTGCTCAGATAACACTCCTGGCTGTTGGCCATAAGGGAAGAAATGGTCCCGTGTGGCTTGCAGTGATGGCTCACGGTCCTTGTCATCTTCCTGCTGTCTTCCCAGGCCACATGGAAACATTGCATATTGGGGGCAGGTAGGTGTGCCAGGGAGGATGGCAGTGACACAGGTATCCCGTTGGGCCCAGACCCAGGAGACCCCCCGGCACTCTTGGTAGGCCTGAGAACTCTACTCAAAGTTCCAGCCTTAGTTTGTCCTCTGGAGAAATGGGGGTGCTGCACATCAGCCTTGACATGACAACTCTCAACGGGAGTTGTGGGACAACCTGGAGGTTCTGTGTCTTTCTGACCATCTTCCAGGGATGTCATCACCTGGGATTTTGCAAAAGCAGTGGTGTGTTTGAGAGGGGATTGGATTTGAGCCTGGTTTCAAGGAGGCACCTGAATGAAGCCGTCCTTGGAAACAGCTGTAATGGAGAGCTCCTTTAAAGTGCTTTGCTTTTCAGAGCCTGTGTTCTTATAGATGGGGCAGATCAGGGTATGGCCCAGAGCACCACCTCAGAAGTGACAGAATTGGGTGGTGGGGACAGTGGTGCCCTCTGGAGAGAGGCCAGTTAACATAAATGAAAAAGAAATCCAGTACTTACACAGGGTAGTTATTTTGGGACAACTCCCACCATGGGGTTTATGAGGATGAATATATGAACTCACTTGTCATTCAGCAAATCACTAAGGGCAGGCTCTGGAAGGCAGAAGAGCGAATCTGATGAATCTGACCCCTCCGTTGTGGGGTATGATGTCTATTGGGTTACTCCTGTGTAGACTATTAGAAAAAGCACACCTCTAGCTTTTTTTTTTTTTTAACTTTTATTGCAGAAATTTTCAAGTGTGTACAAAAGGAGAGGGATAGTGTAATACGATACCCAGTTTCAGGCATTATCAACTCATGGCCAATCTTTTTCTTTAAGGCTTTTTTTTTTTTTTAATGGGGAACAGTATGTTTTTCCAGGATCCCTCAGCTACAAGTCAAATAGTTGTTTCAATCTAGTTGTGGAGGGCGCAGCTCAGTGGCCCACGTGGGGATTGAACCTGTAACCTTGGTGCTAAGAGCTGTGTGCTCTAACCACTTGAGCTAACCAGCCACTCCCAACTCATGGCCAATCTTGTTTCGTTTATTTTCCAACCCACTCCCCCACAAGATAATTTAGAAGTAAATCCCAGACATCATATCATTTCCTTCTTAAATATTTCAGTATGCATCTTGAAGAATTCTTCTAAAAAACACACTACCATTATTACACACTCTAATTGACACTAATTTCTTAGGATTGTATTCAGTCAGTGTTCAGATTTCCCCAACTATCTCATACAAGTTTTCCAAAATTTTTTTGAGTCAGGATTCAAACAATCCAATGTGATTGGTGATATCTCTCTTTATAAATAGTTTTCTCCTCCAACTCTTTTTTTTTTTTCTTCTTACAATTTCTTTGTTGAAGAAACTGGTTGTTTGTCTTAGTGAGTTTCCCACAGTCAGGATTTTGTGGATGGTATCTCCTGGTGTCATTTAACATATTCTGCTGTCCCTTATGTTACCGTAAGTTGGTATTTAGTTTTAGAGGCTCTAAAGGATTTGGGTTAGATTTTTTTTTTTTGGCAAGACTGTGTTGTTGGAAGTTGCCTAGTTGTCTTTGTGATGTTGGCAGCTATTGATTGATTTGTCCTTAAGGTTTGAAGGCTGGTGTTAGGGAGGACATTTGTGTTCTGCCATGAGCCAGTGACAGAGCCTGTGAGCTGGGGGAGATGTGAGGTCTGATCAGGTGGGGGGTCCAGGAGCCCTGGCCTTGTATTCCCAGAGTCCCAAGGCTGGAAGCGGCACAAGGCGGGAGCTGATCCACTCCCTGGGCCCAGAACAGACAGCTGCTTATTTTCTTCTTAGAAGGTTGCTGGGTCCTGCCCTCTGTGGAAGGGCCTGTATCCTCTCTTGTCTGAGGTGTGAATGCCACCCTGTTGGCTGTCATTGCTTTAAAGAGCAAACGTCTCCCTTTAACCAGCTTCCCATTTTTAACCTCACAGAGAGTCTGAGAAGTTAAGGGAACGAGTTTATTTAATTCCTTTTGAGCCACTATTTTAATCTCCTGTTTGGTGTGCTCAACTTCTTGTGGCCCTTCTCCATTCTCCTTACGGTTGCCAGAGTGGAGTTTTTAAAAAGTCAAATAAGATCAAGT